TCCAGCATTAAAATGTGAATAAATCTCTCGTGTCTCGTTACCGTGATACTGGTAACGTAGCCCGATGTCAAAGAAGTGGACGAAAAAAACAACAACATCAGCAGAAATGGTTCGAAAAGTAAAGAAGCGAATTGATCGAAACCCGCGTCGCAGTGGCCGAAAAATGACCCGTGAGCTGAACATATCGAAATATTCCATTCGGCAAATATTGAAAAATTAGCTTGGGGTAAAACCATTGAAATTCCAAAATGAAGAAAGAGCAGAAAGAAAATAGACTTAAAAGAGCTAAAGAGTTGATTCGCTTGGCCGAAAGTGCTGAACTGGCGAATTTGTTTTTCTCCGATGAGAAAACATTCGTTGTCCAGCAGTTTGTAAACAAACAAAATGATACTTGCCGAAGAGGTCAGCTGAAAATGTGCACCTTCGGTTGGGCACCAGAACTCAAGCAGTGGCCATGTTGATGGTGTGGGCCGCCATAACAGTCGATGATCGCTCCCCGCTCATATTAATCGACCGTGGTATTAGAATAAATGCCGAATATTATCGGCAAAATATTCTGGAGGGTGTCTTGGGCTTGGGCAAACATTTTGGGCGCAGACATTGGGCATTCCAACAGGACTCCGCTCCATCGCACTCAGCACGCGCCACCCAAGAATGGTTACAAAATGAGGTTCCTCGCTTCATTTCTAGCGCATAAAGGCCACCAAAATCTCCAGATACCAATCCGTTGGAGTATTGGAGTGTCTGGAGTATTTTGGAAAGCAAGGTTGGCACTAAAAAATACCAAAGTGTCGATCACCTCAAGCAAGCGCTTCGCCGGGAATGGGCCAAAATACCGCAGAGCAACATTCGGGCTGCGTGTGATGTTTCATTGGCCCTTTGAAGGCCATAAGTCGTGCCAAAGGTGACCAATTCGAACAAATCTAAACTTATTCTCTGAAATTTGATGCTATTTCCGACATTTTTTGCTTTCTTTCAACAGAATTAAAAAAATTAGAAATTATGGCTTTTGATTTTGTTGCAGTTTTTTTCGCAACCTGTAAGTGTGGTAAATTTCTGTTTTCTAATTGGTGCAAAATTCGTAATTTTGGATTTTTTTACTTCTGGTGGGAGACAATTTTCTGCAATTTAACCTTTGATATTTGTCCGATTTGAAAATGTGATATTGCCCAACTATAAAACTCCCCTTTGATTACTCCACTCAGTCAATGTCAGTTCCAATAGTTCCAACACGTTGTGTGGTCCTCTGTGATTGCAAGACGAAAACAATCGATGCCGAATTCGTTTTTTTGGCGTGATTGGTAATTAAGTTGTAAACTACTCTGACAGCACCACGAAGTGGGATGGCGTAAAACTCAAACACAAACCCGGTAATTAGTGACACCAAATCACTGATGGCTACGCCCACCGCAAGCAATTGCCTAGCCAGTAGAATGTCCCAACTACAAAACAAAAAACAAAAAATACGCCAGGACAATCTGTGAGGTCTTCTTGGTGGTCAGGTAACAAGAAAACTCTTTCTCTGCTCTGGAGGCAACAACAACAGCACAACCAATTACTCTTATTTTAGTTCAAGTGACCAACAAATTTGTCTCTCTTCTACAAAATTATTTGTTGTTTTGTTTATTTCCAACGGCTAGTAGTCCAAAAACGGCAGATAGGAAGTAGAGATTAGTGGAGGAAGGGATCAATTGCTGCGGCATGGATTAACAAACTAATTAGAGGCAATAATGAGCATTTAACCAATCCGGAACAGAAAGGCTGGTCCTTGCTATTTGCTTTGTGCCGTTTTGCTCCTTTTTTGCCAACCTCAATTAGGGAATTTAGATCAAAGCTGATGATCGCTGAAATGTCAGAGACCAGACAAAATTTGATGCGTCGTCGCTGCAATGCGATACGAATTGCAATGAGATATGCGCTCAACTTGGAGGTCCACGATCCGTATTTTCTACGCAGCATCAATGCGAAAACTAAACTTCAAAGTAAACAACCCACCGAAAGAGACCACCACACAACCAAAAATAGCAGCAACAATGCTCCTCCGAAAAAAGTGCACTGATTAAGTTTTGTCATAAGGATCCAATTACAAACCGTTAGCAGGAGCATCATTTCTGACATTTTTTTCCTATGCAGACAAGACGCCAATATTGGGTGATGTCTACATCTCCAGTAGACGGAGATGAAAAAAAATTGCAAGGCTGCATTGGGTTTTGCACTTTCTTTTTGGGACCAGAAGAAAGAAAAGATACACTGAGCGAAATTGGGAGTGGTCTGAAGAAGACCTTCAATAAACAGATTGGGGTACGTTATTAGGTCTTCTACAGAGAGAAGGGAATAGGGAATCACTCGATAGAAGGAAGACAGTCAATAGGTCTTCTAAACAGAGAAGACCGTCAGAAGGTTTTTTTTACAGAGAATAGACCGTCAGAAGGTCTTCTACAGAGAAAGGCAGTCAGATGATCTTTTACAAAGAGAAGGCTTTTAAAGAAAATCGAAGGAAGGCTTTTTAAAGAAAAAAGACCGTTAGAAGGTTTTTTACGGAAAGAAGACCGCCAGGAGGTCTTCTACAGAGAGAAGGTTTTCAGTAGGCCCTCGATAGATAGAAGAACGTCAGGAAGACCATCAGAAGGTTTTTTACAGAGATAAGACCGCCAATAGGTCTTCTACAAAAAGAAGACAGTCCGGAGGGTAAGGAAGTATTCTACAGAGAGAAGGCTCTAAGGAGGACCTAGATAGATAGACGACAGTCAATTGGGTCTTCTACAGATAGAAGACCTTCAGGAGGTTTTCTACAGAGAATAGTCCGTCAGAAAGTCTTCTACAGAGAAAGACCGTCAGAAGATCTTTTACAAAGAGAAGGCTTTTAAAGAAAAAAGAAGAAAGGCTTTTTAAAGAAAAAAAGACCGTTAGAAGGTTTTTTTCAGAGAGAAGACCGCCAGGAGGTCTTCTACAGAAAGAAGCCCGTTTGGAGGTCTTCTACAGATTGGGGTCCATAAGGAGGTCTTCTATACAGAGTTAGAGCCTTCTCTCGGGGTAATGAAGTATTCTACAGAGAGAAGACTCTAAGGAGGTCCTCGATAGAGAGAAGACAGTCAATAGATCTTCTGCAGAGAGAAGACCTTCAGGAGGTCTTCTAAAGAAAGAAAACCGCCAGAAGGTCTTCTGCAAAAAGAAGACGTTCAGGAGATCTTCTAAAACTGAAAGATCGGCAGGAGACCTTGACAGAAAGAAGGCCCTCAGATGGAAGACCGTCAAGAAGTCTCTACAAAAATATAACCTTGAGGAGGTATTCTACAAAGAGAAGACCGTCGGGAGGTCTTCTGCAGACCGTCGAGAGGTCTTCTGCGGACAAAAGTCCATGATAGAAGTCCATCAAGAGGTTCTCGACAAATAGAAGAGAGTTATGTGGCATCCTTGTAAAGACCGGTAGAAAGTCTTCTACAAGTAATTCTACAGAAAGAAGACCATAAGAGGGTATTTTAAAGAAAGAGGTCTTCTATAGATAGGAGACAATCATGAGGTCCCCAATAAACTGACGATCTGCTGGAGTTCTTCCAGAGATGTAAGACCGTCGAGAGGTATTCTATAGAAAGAGAACCATCACGAGGTCCACGACAAACTCATGGCCGTCAGGAGGTCTTCGGCGTATAGAGGATCGTCAGGAGGTCTCCTAAAGATAGAAGACGTTATGAGGTCCTCTTTAGGTAGAAGGCGTTCAGAATGCCTTCTACAGATAGGAAACCGTCAAAGGGTCTTATACAAATAGAAGGGTTTCTATAAATAGAAGTCCTTCTGCAGACCCCTCAAGGGGCTTCTACGTCTAAAAGAACCCCTGTGTGCTTTTACGTCTAGATCACCATAAGAGGCTTTTATTTTTAGAAACCGTCAAACATAGGAACGTCAGAAGGGTTTCTACAAATAGAAGTCCTTCAGCAGACCCCTCAAGGTTTTCCTCGTCTAGAAGAACCCCTGAGTGGTTTTACGTCTAGAGCACCATTCGAGGCTTCTATTTTTAGAAATCGTCAAAGGTTATTATACAAATAGAGGAACGTCAGAAGGCTTTCTACAAATAAAAGTCCTTCAGCAGACCCCTCAAGGTTTTCCTCGTCTAGAAGAACCCCCGAGAGGCTTTACGTCAAGAGGACTATTAGAGGCTTCTATTTTAAGAAGACTAAGTGTAGCAGACCCCCTGAGGGGCACAAAGCTATTTGTGACATATTTGACATATTTTAAGTCTATAAGTCTCCATGAGAGGCTCCTACGTCTGTAGGCCATCTTGAGATGCCTCTACGTTTAGAAGTCCTTTTGAAAGGGCTTCTACTTATAGAAGACGCCTTGGGAGGACCCTATATATAGAAGACCCCTTAAGATCCCATTAAGGAACTTTTAGCTGTAAAGGACCTCTAGAGGAGCACTATTTGAAGAACTTCAACGTCAGAGGGCTCCTTAAAGATACTTTCAGGGGATACTACGTATAGAAGACCCTTTGAAGGGCTTTTACGTCTAGAAGTCTTTTTTGAGAGGCTTATATGTGTTGAAGTCCAGTGAGAAGCTTCTACATATACAAAAATCCTTTGAGGTATTTTCTACCAATAGAAGATCGCCCTGTGAATAGAAAACTCCTCATAAAAAATCTTCAGGCTTTTTTATTCTGTGGATAGTGTTTATTTATTATCAGTGTAGGTATATTTCTTGTACTGCTATTTCATGCAGTTTCCAATGATTTCATCAAACTTCGAAAAAAAGCTGATTGAAATTGAAACTGTCGTGGCTGCAGTGTGGGTGGTTAAGAACCTTGCGATCTCCGTTTTTTGCTCATTCTTATTTTGGGGATAATTTGCATCTTGTCCAAGTTCATGTTCGTAGAATATTATGCACACACACACACACACTCGCACACATATTGTCACTGCCCCTTTATCATTTACATGCCCCCACACTATCAAATTATTATTTTGTTGAACTAATTAAAAACGAATTTTTTTTTATTTTCTTCTCAGGGGGCTCATTTTTTCATCGTTGGATAAAGGATGGCTTACTGGTCGACTTGGCTACTTTTGACTAATTTACAGTTTTAAGAACAAATATCTCACGCTATCTGTCCGTATGTCCGCCTACCGTTCGTTGTGGAAGAAGATAAAAAGGAGCAAAGAATATGCTTAGCGCCAACAGAGAAGCTGCCGAAGGTAATGAACTTTAAATTGTTGACGCTGTGATTTTAAGTGCCTCAACTGATGGATGGATGGATGGATGGATGCTTTACATCACTCGGCCTTCCCAATGTTATTGAAGAGCAGAAGATTTACCGTTCATCGAAGGTAAAGTGAAAGCGTTTCATGTTAACAATTCCGTAACAATATCTTGTGGGGCACTACATAGGTTGGGGAGTGTGATTGGTTGTGTGGTATGAATTGTAACGTGAGAGATCTTATCGGTTTTAAACCAAAATTTGAGCAAAAATGGAAAAATAGATCGGCTGTACAAATTTGTTTAGGAACTCCTAAAGCCTACTGCTATGAAAAAAAATAAACAAAAAATAATATTTTATTAAAAAAATTAAAATTAGCTTTTATTCAAATTTTTGTGGCCTTTTTTACATTACCTCACTATTTCATAAATCCTTATTTGGGCTTAAGTCATTTTAGCGGATTGACAGTTACTTATCAATGTTTAATATCATTAATCCTTTGTAGTTCACTTCGGGTTCAATGCGTCCTAAGGCTGGCTATAGTCTCTAGTACTTCGATTCATAATAAAAACCCATCTTTCTGTCTTTTGAACTGGTTCTTTAAATTATTCCTAAATTCTAATGTCGATATTAATTTTAATTAGAAAACTAATCTCTAAGCTTACATCCATAAGCCCTAACCATATTGTATAAATCCATACGGTTGAGGTCGATGGATTCATACCCTGCCCTGTTGACATCTTCTCTCTTTAATAGTCTTAGGCCGTCTTTGTGCTTCTCGCAGTTGAGGGTTTTTAGAATAAGTTTAGATTTGTTTGAATTGGTCACCTTTGGCACGAATTATGGCCTTCAAACGGACAATGAAACCGTCACACGCTGCCCGAATGTTGCTCTGCGGTATTTTGGCCCATTCCCGGCGAAGGGCTTGCTTGTGGTGATCGACACTTTGGTATTTTTAAGTGCCAATCTTGCTTTCCAAAATACTCCAGACACAATAGTCCAATGGATTGGTATCCGGATATTTTGGATAAGCGAGGAACCTCATTTTATAACCAATTTTGGATGGCGCGTGCTGAATGCGATGGTGCTGCGTCCTGTAGGAATGTCCATAGTCGCGGTCAAATGTTTGCGTGCCCTCCAGAATATTTTCGCGATAATATTCGGCATCTATTTTGATTAATACGAGCGGAGAGCGACTATCGACTGTTATGGCGGCCAACACCATTACCACGGCCGGCACTTGAGTTCTGGTGGCCAACCGAAGGTGCACATTTAGTTGACCTCTTTGACAAGTAAACACGCTCATTTTGTTTGTTTACAAACTGCTGGACAACGAATGTTTGCTCATCGGAGAAAATCAAATTCGGCAGTTCACCACGTTCCGCCAAGCGAAGCAACTCTTTAGCTCTCTTTGAGTCTATTTTCTTTCTGTTGCGGTGTAAGTTCTTGCATTTTTTGTAATTTCGATGGCTTTAACTCGAGCTCATTTTTCAATATTTGCCGAATGGAATATTGCGATATGTTCAGCTCACGAGTTTTCGATCAAGTCGCTTCTTTACTTTTCGAACCATTTCTGCTGATGTTTTTATTTTCTTCCGTCCACTTCCTTGACGTCGGGCTACGCTACCAGTATCAGTATCACGGTGACGAGCGATGGTACGAGACACAAAAGATTTATTCACATTTAAATGCTGGAGCGCTCTAACGATAGTCACTTGTGATTCCCCAGCCAAATATAAAGAAATCACCCTGTCACGCTTGAATTCCATCACGAATAGCTTTTTTTCTGGAAAATTCTCACCAAAATGCTTTTGTACGCTTGTAAACAATATAATGAGCTGTCAGTGGAATAATTTTAACAGCTGTCGGACGAGTGGCTTTGAAATGACAGCAGTCTGAAGTTGGTTACAGTTTTTTAATCTCCCCCTGTAGTATCACTCGGTTTTGCCGACATATGAACATCCCCAGCCTTGAGTTATGATTATTTTAATTGTTGACCCTCTATGGAGGAGGTTCCGAAGCAGTTGGTTAATATTGTCCAATTCGTATCTGACCTAAGTCTGATATAAAAATTACAACGTGCCATATTTGAACTATATCGTTTACTTCCTATACTTTATATGAGATATCTGCAAATTTTTGGAAAATGGGGAAATATATGTGAGGTACCGAAATATTTGACTTCATCTAATACAGATAAAAATATTGGTACGTGCAAAATTTAAAGGGAATCGAACATTTCCAATTTTATACGAAGTCATAATTTCTTTAAATTCCACACTCATACCGGATTTATAGTTGAGAGAATTTTTTAGATATATCAAGTTATGATCGATAAAAGTATTGAAAATTGTGACCCTTTGTGGGTGAGGTACCACAAGGGGTTCGCAAATATATATAATTTTCTCAACAGATCTTGTGTTAGCAAAAATGTTTGAATTGGTGCAATTTAAAGAGAGTTAGATGCTTTTTTTCGTCTTCTTTGAGCGTTTTGTTATTCTTGAACCCTATGTGGGGAGGTGCCATAAGAAATGATCCGATCTCTACCAACTTTATAAAAGATCTTGTATTGATGGCAATATTGAGATGTGCCAAGTCTGAATGGAATCGGATGTTGGTTTCGTATTTTATTAGCTTCAAGGGTATTTAAAATTTTGAACCTTTGTGGGTACAAGAGGGAATGGGCCAATATATTCCATCTTCCCAGCAGATCCTGTTAGTAGAAATAATGGGTTGTGTGAAATATGAAGAGAAACGGATGCTTATTTTGGATTTTATAATCGATTTGGTTATTCAATTCTTTGACCCTTTGTCGGGGAGGTACCAAAAAGAATGGCCCGATCTCTACCATCTTTATAACAGGTCTTGTGTTGATGGGCATAATGAGATGTTAATTTCGCATTTTATGAGCATCAAGGATATTCAAAATTTTAACCACTTTGTGTGGGAGGTACCAGAAGGAGTAGGCCGATATATTCCATCTTCACATCACATCCTGTGTTAGTAGAAACAATGACATGTGTGAAGAGAACAGGATTTTTTCGGATTCTATAATCGATTTGGTTATTCAAAACTTTGACCCTTTGTGGTGCAATTGTCCGATTTCTACCATCTTTATAACTGATTTTGTGTTAATGGAAATATTGAGATGTGGCAAGTCTGAATGGAATCGGATGTTAATTTCGCGTTTTATGAGCTTTATGGATATTCAATGTTTTGACCAGAAGGAGTGGACCGATATATCCATCTTCACCCCAGACCTTGGGTTAACAAAAATATTGTGATGTGTGTAATTTGAAGATAATCGAACTCTTACATCACATTTATTGTTGTTGTTGTAGCAGTAGTACATGTATGTGTTTGCATTCTGCTAATCAGGTTCAAGCTCCAGGTTTAAAAATTCGGCTACTTTAATGGCCTGTAGCCAGAGATCTTCTGGAGTGAGTTGGGTAGATTTGGCTGTGCATTTAAGAAGGTGCAGCGTATTGTGCGGGCCTGTATCACACGCCGGGCAGACGTCACGTACATCTTCGTCAATTCGTACTCAATACGAATTGAGACGACTACACCATCCTAAACGTAATTGCGCCAAACCTACCCTGGTTTATCTAGGCAGCTAGCGTTCTTCAGCTGCAATAGATGGGGGTGGACTCCGAGGACGGCATTCATTCTATAACTGCAGAATAAAACCTGCCTGATAGGCTTCCTGATCTAGAGGTTCTCTTATAGCATTGGACCTCCCTCTCTAGATCGTGTATGTCCTTTCTGACACGCCTGGGTGGGAGAGTTGTATCCACCATATGATGGTTGGGATGACTCTCAGGGTAATACCCAAGCAGGTACTGCAACGAAACCATATGATTATGCTGACGTAAGGGAAGGATTTTCGCCTTCTCATGTAGATGGTCCACTGGTGTCATGAGAAGGCACCCTGTCGCAGTTCTCAGAGCAGCATTCTGGCAGGTTTGGATCTGCTTCCACTGCGTAGCACCAGGGGAGTAGGAGGGGGAGGTACTTGATGGAGTGGACCGATATTGTACATTTTCGCACCTGATCGAGTACAGTTGCACATATTAGGATTTACAAAGTTGGAGCAAAATCGGAATGTCCTTTTTTTGGAAAATTTCGATATTTTGTGGGGGAGGTACCAGAATCAGTGGACCGATATTGTCCATTTCCAAACTCGATCTATGTTTGATAAATCGGCCCAATCGGATAGTCCCTTCGAAAGTTATAGTGCGCACCAGTCAGAGAGACAGGCGGACGGACGGACATCGCTAGGTTGACTCCAACTGTCCTGAAACGAATTTCGTTCGAAGAGACCAAGGGTCTAAAATCGTTATTTCGATGAGGCACGTCATGGCATCAAACGGTATATACCCTCTGTAGCCATATGGCTGAAGGTATACAAAATAGGCTTCATTAAAAAAATTCAAATTCGAATTAACCCTTTCTTTTACCTTCTGCCGGGGCCTAGATACAATTTGAGCCGATATTGACAATTTATTACAAATTCCCAACGGAATTTATTTTTAGACAACAACAATTTATTTTCGACGTCTAACATCTGAGTTAATACATATATCTCTGATGCTGGACGTCGCAAATATATTAGATTCTGTCTTTGCAGCTGATATACTAAAGACAAGTCGCATATGTTGACTGTAGCGTAAAATAAGATCTGCATAACTATTCCCTGACTTTGGTTGCTCTGATTTTTTTCTCTTTCATGGGTTAAATCTTGGTAATCCTTATTTTTGAATAAATTCACCACGAAGACGACTACTACCATCTACGACAACAATAACAATACAGACATTGTTGTTGTCTTTTGTTGCAAAACTAAGGCATCAAATTATCACCCTGACAAGAAAACAACAACAGCAACAACATAGCATAACAAAGATGAACAAGTCTTAGGAGGGATCTTGGAGAATTTTTTAAATGAAATTGCCACACGCAATGAAATTGCCACACATCAAAACGATGGCCTAAGTCCTGGTGCTGCTGCTCGGGGTTTTTTGTTTGCCTTCTCTGCTGCCGACTTTTTAGTTTGATTTAAGCCAGTGATTTGTTTACCTTAAAAAAATATTTAGCTTTTGCTGCTGCTGTAACAGTTTTTTTGCTGCT